ATTTTTGACAGTCTGGACATTTTTGTCCAGAAGGATCTTCTTTATTGAAAACATTTGTTTTAATATTGGATTCGAAGGGTAAAAGGGTTTGTAATACATACCAGCTGACAAATGGATTTCGTGTACAAGTAAAGGTAAGACCATTAACTTTTATTATTTCTAGTTAGAAATAAAATCAACTGGATTAAATTTTAACCTCAAATTAAATATAGGTCACATTTGTGTGAAGAATGCTGATATGAGATAAACATAACGCATTGTCTGTTAACAGACAATTTGTTAACGGTTCATTTGTATTTGTAAATCTGACAAGTCCGTGCCTCAGCAGCTGTCAACCTCACCGCACGTCACTGATTTGGTGTGAGCCGGAGCTCGCACTTCCATGTTGAAATATGGTAAATCTCGGTATGTGTGTGTGTGTGTGTGTGTGTGTGTGTGTGTGTCAGGTGGCACCTTGGTCTTGATCAATGGACCCCCGAACAATGGGTGGCCTGAGTTGCAGCCCCCTGTATGTGTGATGCTAATAAGTATGCTAAACTGGCCATGTGGTCATCTCAGGTTGTGAGCCCCCTGGCGCTGCAGGGCACCCTAAGACAAAGCAGAATCTTGGAATATGCTAAGTGGGTCTAGGTGTGAGTGTAAAACCGGCCAACAGGTCTCTGTTAAAATGTAAATAGGCTGTCTGATCACAAAGAGATGCAGACATCCTGCCTCAACAGAAGTTACAGTATTCAAAGTAAGCAGATTCTACTTGATTCTCATCAATACAATTGTAAGATATATAAGTAAGGAAAATAAATGTATTAAGAATAACCAAAGCTTAGTAGTTCTGGACAATCATCAATACAGCTGTAATATCTATAAACAGGGAAAATAAAGTTATGAAAGGTAACTAAAGGGAACTAAAGGTATGAGAAGTAACTAAAGGGAACTAAAGTAACTAGAGTCTATAAGACTGAAATCTTACAGGTGAAATGTATACAATAACAGTGGAGAAACTGGGCAAACCAACTGAAGACTATAAGTTGATTTTCATGTGGGAACATGAATGGACTGGTGTGAACAAATCTATGGAAAAGTGGACATGCTCTAACCCCTCTTCCCTAGAAATGGTGTTGTATGGCAGTGCACCATGGCAGATAAGGATATGATCTTGTACATGGATGTCAACTTGCTGTACCTGTATGTGATATTTGCTGAACATTGTTAGTACCCTGTAGGACATCCTGAAGTCATTTGTAACAACTTTGAAAACTGTCAGAAATACTTTGGGCTCATCAAAGCCACAGTCTGACCCCCCACGCAGTCTTTTTTCCCCAAATGTTCCCTTACAAAACACCCAGCAGGAAACTCATCTTCCTGTTGTGTAAAGCCTGTTGCAAAACCAACAAACAGACATCAGAATGCATGCACACTGAGCAGGAAATTACAAGTATCTGGATAACACCAGAGTTTCAGAAAGCGCTTTGTCCCAACATGGTGGTTTCATTCTGCCTCTCCTCACTGTGGCTCTCTGAACTGCAGTCGGTGAGCCGGTCAGTGGTTTGATCAAAAGATAATTTTGCCGAGAGTGTGTCAGAATGGCCGCACAAAAGATGCATCTGATTACACCCGACCACCTGACTAAACTGAATGAGCATGTTTAAAGTTCAGGGAGTGTACTTCAAAATGCTGAAAACGAGCTGAATTCAGAAACAAGATGTATTTTGGACTAGAAAGGGTTAACATCTGACAAAGAAAGACAAAGAAACCCAAGAAAATAAATTAACACTGCCTAAAAAGCCACCAGCACAAGAGGACAGGAACCATGTGGGTGTCCATACTACAGTGCCTTGCGAAAGTATTCGGCCCCCTTGAACTTTGCGACCTTTTGCCACATTTCAGGCTTCAAACATAAAGATATAAAACTGTAATTTTTTGTGAAGAATCAACAACAAGTGGGACACAATCATGAAGTGGAACGAAATTTATTGGATATTTCAAACTTTTTTAACAAATAAAAAAACTGAAAAATTGGGCGTGCAAAATTATTCAACCCCCTTAAGTTAATACGTTGTAGCGCCACCTTTTGCTGCGATTACAGCTGTAAGTCACTTGGGGTATGTCTCTATCAGTTTTGCACATCGAGAGACTGAAATTTTTGCCCATGCCTCCTTGCAAAACAGCTCGAGCTCAGTGAGGTTGGATGGAGAGCGTTTGTGAACAGCAGTTGTCAGTAAAATGTATTGAGACAAAACGTTATGCATAATTAAGGGCATAGGCACTTTGAATGACAGGTAGGAGAATCATTTATTAGCTGGCTGGCCGCTAGCTGTTTAACAAGCTTCACTCACATTCTGCCTCTTTGCCCATTTTTGAATGGAGAGAAGCTAATATAGGAGAGATATGATCTCTCTTGCTAGTTCCTATCAGTACTCTGGCTGCAGCATTTTGGATTAACTGGAGGCATTTTAGGGAACTATTGGGACATCCTGATAGTAAAGAGTTACATTAGTCCAGCCTGGAAGTAACAAATGCATGGACCAGTTTTTCAGCAAATTGGACCCACAGGATGTTCCTGATTTTGGCGACATTATGCAGGTGAAAGAAGGCAGTTCTAGAGACTTGGTTTATGTGTGATTTAAAGGACATATTCTGATCAAAGATGACTCCAAGGTTCCTCACAGCAGTTCTGGAAGTCAGAGCTATGTCATCTAGAGTAACTATATGGTTAGACAGCAGATTTCTAAGGTTTTTAGGCCCAAGTACAATAATTTCAGTTTTGTCAGAGTTTAGAAGTAAGAAATTACAGGTCATCCAGGCCTTTATGTTTTTAAAACATGCTTGAAGTTTGACTAACTGATCTGATTCATTTGGGTTCATAGATAAATATAACTGAGGATCATCTGCATAGCAATGTATGTTGTGTTCCCTGATAATATTGCTTAAGGGGAGCATGTATAAAGTGAAGAGAATTGGACCTTAACACAGCTTAAACACACCAGTCACATGAATTGCATGACCTATCACAAAGTATGGGGCAGAGCCACACCTCTGGGGGTGTCTTTTTGACCTGACATAGTGCTTAGTTTGCCTGTAGCAGTGGGTGACATCCCCTTGTACCATCGCATGAAGAGCTATATGAAGGGCTGCATGTAAACTGACCCATCATGGGGAAAGACCCCTGTGGTCATTGGAGGTTTTTGGGATATCTTTGCTGGTTAATTGCCTTATTCTGCACCATCTAGGTATTTAATTCATGGCAGAATTGCAGAGTATTGTCTTTTGTTAAAATTTGCCTTTGCATGCTACATGTGCTTTTCAGTAGAAGAAAGGTGTATATGAAAAGAAAATTATTTAATTAGAGCAATTCTGAAAAAATTATTTAATTAGAGAAAGACATTCCCTTTATTACCATACCAGGAGGTAATAAATTTTATTGTGAGGGTGTAGCACAGGTGTTGAAAAAGAACAGAGGTACAGGAGGTGATGAATTTTTTTATGGTCAGGAGGAACACCTGGTAATTAAAGGTCATAAATTATAGGAGAGGTGTGATAAACAATGGAAGGCAGAAGAGGGAGGGGTCTGCAACAGCAGAAGGGGGGCGGGGCATAGGGGCCATAAATCAATTGACAGATGCTGCATTACATTACTTTCTCATGTATACTTTTTAATCTTCAGAAGATACACAAATTGTGCATGTGAATATGGGACTTTTCTCACAGTGCTTGACTACATGTACATACTGTTAAAAGCATGAATGTCACAAGAATTAGCCATTACCAAGGTAGAAAACAGTCATCAGATACTTGGCATCTTCATTTAAGGTGCATGCCATTCAGCTCATTGTAAAATGTTTTCTAAACATTGTGTTTTTGCATGTGAATGACATTGAAAGTGCAAAATCAAATGATATCTGTTTGTCATTTAACATACAGGGCAAAGGATTCAGTCAAGCATTTTCACGTGACACGCAAAGACAATGGCTATGTGTTTGGGTTTAATGAGTTTACAACCCTTCAAGACTTTGTGAGCCACTTTGCTAACCAGCCTCTACTGGGCAGCGACACAGGTATGGAGAACATCAGCTCTTCACCAACCTAGCTTACTGCATATTACCACTTGGCTCTTTTCAGCTGATACTTTTATTAGGACAGTTCCTGTTTCATTCCTGTTTACTTTGGCCTTCCTTCCTGTCTCCTGCCTTTCTCAATCTGGCCACCAAATGCCGTTATACTTTCCCTCCCATTTCAAGTGGCTCCATGGCCATGATAGTGGTGGGATGGGACAAAATTTGTTTAAAGTGGCCATGGCATGGTTTTTCCTTGTTTTCAGACTTGCCTGACATCCACTGGGGCCATTTTAAAAGTGGAATTTTTCAACTGCATGTGGTTTTGTGGATATATTTTACCTCCTGCTGCTGCAATGTGACCAGAGGATGAGGAGATACCAGTTAAAATATGGGGTTCCTCACTTACCCACTTTGTTTAGAGTGTTATACATCTCTTTTCATCGGTACATATACTGTTGTTTACCTATCTATGGAGAAGGAATTCATATTAGTGCTGTTGTGATTCGTTGTGCTGTCTGCTCTGATATTCTGGCTTGAACATGTTGGGTAGGATTTGACGTATTGTCATTATCACAATGTAGCTTGTTTGTCATTGTTTGTTGTTTATGCGTTGTTGTCCTGGATTCCTGACTGGTCCTGTTTCAAAAAGTGTTACCCTATCTTGATGTGTTTCCCCTGTTCAAAACTCGGTTTCATGTAGTGCCCTCTCAGTGGTTGTGGTTAGGACAATGTTAGGGTTCAGGTTAGGGGAAACACATCTCAATGGGGAAACATACAGTATTTCAACACAGCACCAGCAGTAGAAGTTGTGCACATTCACGAACTGTCCCCTCATTTCCGGGAAGAGGCTCTGGTTTTACTGTTGTGAAATAATTACAGACTATCTGGAGTTATGATGGGAGCAAAGCTCATTTAGTGGTAACCAAGATTAAATATTAAATGGCTGGAAAGAAGCATGACCATGGCCACTTTAAGCTATTTATCAGTGTGATCAGCCATGTCCTTGATACCTGTATCTGTACTTGAAGCACCTGTGGCCTCTGTGATTTTTACTTTACTTTACATCCACATTTACCCTTATTCCTTCACCTGCTTTCTCCATTTAACATTGTCTTGATCTGTTGCAACCTTAGCTGCTTTGTTTCTTTTCATTTTTACTCCCAAACTACTGATATTTGGACATACAGTACCTTGTAAAAGTATTCATACCCCTTGAATTTTTCCACATTTTGTCACATTATAACCACAAACTTAAATGTATTTTATTGGGATTTTATGTGATAGTCCAACACAAAGTATCTCATAATTGTAAAGTGGAAGGAAAATGATACGTGGTGTTCAAGATTTTTTACAAATAAAAATCTGAAAAGTGTAGCGTGTATTCAGCCCCTTTACTTTCATATCCCTAAATAAAACCAGTGCAATCAACTGCTTTCAGAAGTCACCTAATTAGTAAATAGTCCACCTGTGTGTAATTCAATCTCAGTATAAATACAGTTGTTCTGTGAAGGCCTCAGAGGTTTGTTAGAGAACATTAGTGAACAAACAGCATCATGAAGACTAAGGAACACACTAGACAGATCAGGGATAAAGTTGTGGAGAAGTTTAATGCAGGATTAGGAAATAAAAACATATCCCAAGCTTTGAACATCTCATGGAGCACTGTTCAATCCATCACCTGAAAATGGAAAGCATGTGGCACAAATGCAAACCTACCAAGACATGGCCGTACACCTAAACTAACGGGCCGGACAAGGAGAGCATTAATCAGAGAAGCAACCAAGAGGCTCATGGTAACTCTGGAGGAGCTGCAGAGATCCATAGCTCAGGTGGGACAATCTGTCCACAGGACAACTATTAGTCGTGTACTCCACAAGTCTGGCTTTTATGGAAGAGTGGCAAGAAGAAAGCCATTGTTGAAAGAAAGCAATAAGAAGTCCTGTTTGCAGTTTGCCACAAGCCATGTAGGGGACACAGCAAACATGTGGAAGAAGGTGCTCTAGTCAGTTGAGACCAAAATTGAACTTTTTGGCCTACATGCAAAACATTATGTGTGACAGAAACCTAACACTGCACATCAACCTGAACACACCATCCCCACTGTGAAACATGGTGGGGATGGTGTGTTCAGGTAATATGGTAAAAAAATCCCAAGTGTCCTAACTTTGTTTGGGCTGTGTTGCAGCATCTTAAAATGTGGTTTATTGGTTTACTACATGAAATAAAGTGAATACCAGGTTTTTGCATAATACATCACATATAGAGGTCTATATTAATGTTGGACTGTTCATTTTACATTTAATGAATATAACATAATATATTTTATGCTCTTGTCACACAGTCCAAGTGATGTCTGTTTTATACACATTGAACAAATGAACCTGAGGCAGGAAGGGAAGTGTGCAGGGAGACAGGAGTGTGACCACCAGCCATCTGTTGCACAATATTCTGAAGTAGTTGCAGCATCAATATGTTATGTGGCCTTATGAGCTACAAAAAATGATTAGATTGTGTTTTTTTTAATTAATGATTTGTTGGTAGATTAACTTGTCACGAAAGTTTGACAAATCAAACTGGGGCTGCTTGACAGTCAAATTATATTACTATGAACATCAGAAGAATGTAAAGAAATGTCCCACACAGGGCCAGATTTTCACACCATAAAAACATGTTGAGAATGTTCTGTGTGTTGAAATAAATATTTTCATAAAGATCAATATATGTACATTTTTGCCTTCACTACTAGTTGTTTCTGTTTCAGTGGAACTGTGGGCTAAGCAAGGGAAGTTCATAGTAGATTTCATTCATGCAGCAGATCTTCAAGAAAAAATAGCTGTGGTTTGAGTAATGGGGGCCTGTGCCCAAGTAGAGCTTTATGTCTAGCAACGCCCCTGCTTGTGGATAAATCAAGCCAGAGTGTGCCACCGGTCAGTTTGCCAGAGGTGTCCAATTACTTTGTGACTGATGAATTGCATTAATTTGATGACCACAAACTGAATGTGTTGTTGTCTTCACAAATTTGGTCAATTTTGCCCGGGAGTCTGGCTCCAGGTCTCTCTGGTTTAACACATGCTGTATGTACTGTAGCTGTGGTAGTAGTAGTTTGCTGTGCGTCTCTCTCTTCATATGTAACTACACTACTTTTTTTTATCAGATGTGTTTTTGAACAGAATGTGTTTTATATGTGATAGAAAAACTTGAGCAGCTATGTGTTTTTTTCTTTTTTGCACTTTTCTGCATAGGCCGTCCCTAGTAGGCTAGTGGTTAAGGCACAGCGCTCTCGCCGCTGCACCCCGGGTTCAAATCAGGGTTGTGTCAGGAAGGGCATCAGTGTAAAACACGTGCCACATGTGAATCGTCAGTGTGACGATTCGCTGTGGCGACCCCTAAACGAGAAAAGCTGAAAGTGACTTTCTTTCTGCGGACATGCAGGACCTACTTTTATGTCTCTGCCCATGTCCACAAACTGTGCTGGCTGTAAATTCATTGCGTCTTCCTGTTCTGTAGTGGAAGTTGCTACACAGTTGGGCTGTTTTACAGCAGACGTAAAGCAGGGTAGTCAGCTGGGTGAGTTGTGTGTTTTTTAATGGCAACCAGCTGAATATGTTTTAGTCTCCACTAACTCGGTGATTTTTCCCCAGGAGATAATGGCATTGCTACAACAGTCATATTATTTTTGTGTGGGTCGCGTCTTACTGCAGTGATAAAGAGGAAGATATTATATAACTCAGAGAAAAGTCTTTGAGTCTAAGATTAAAAAAAAAAACATAATGCAACATGATAGTGAGCAATCAGACTGAGGTGTGACAGGATTACTACTACACACTTTTTTATTTACAGCTGTTGATTTCACAGAATTGTGTGGTGCACAGGACACACATGAAACACTGCAACACACCATTCTTATAAAAGTTCCACTTTGCATTTTCCAGTTGTACAAGACAAAGCCACATTTTGTTGTTGGATGTTGCTGTCTGTGTTTTAATGTGATATAATCATGCCTGTAACCTTAACCCTGCCTCTGAACCAGGAACTCTCATCGTGCTGAAGTGTCCATACCCATGGCGTGTGGAGGAGCCGTCCATCTATGAGTCTGTGCGAGTTCACACAGCCATACAAACAGGCCGCTCAGAGAATGATCTTGTGGCGAATGCACCATCGGTATGACACCACGTACACACACCTGTGAGCAGCTCATATAATAAAAAATCAAGATATTTCTGTGATGTGATGTGACCAATGTAACCAAGAGGAGGGTTAACTTTGTTTGCAAGTCAGTCTTCTAAAATAACAAAAATATAGTTTTAATATACTTTATTACAACAATCTGCAAAGAGAGAGACAATAATGTGGGGAATGTGAGGAGTACAACATACAACAAGGTTCCTCTGGCTATAAATGGAATTTGCAATTAAATGGTAAGCGCCTTAACCATTTGGCTGCTGGGCCACTGCAAGCAGAGGCTCAACTTTCAACCACATTTCAGTCTTCACCACTGTATGGAGTTGTTGGTTCATTTGTCTGCTAACTACAAACCCCATTTTCAGAAAGGTTGGGACATTTTCCAAAATGCAATAAAAGCTAAAATCTGTGATTTGTTAATTTATTTAACTGATGGTTGAAAAACTTAGAAAAAATCCACTGGACTAGATTTTTAGGTCGAAGTCGTTTCACCTCTCATCCAAGAGGCTTCATCAGTTCTGACTGACTGGTGTTGAGCCAGAGATATTTATCCCCCTCAGTGGTGTATCAGTCCCTTGATGCCCAACAATGTCCCTTAATGACTGAGTCGTTATAGCCCAGTATCGGTGAGAGTTGTTACCCGTCTTTGAACCCTCACCTGTGGACCGATCCCTATTGTCCTGGTGGGCATGTTTGGACAGAGATCTCAAAACAGGATTGTAGATGGATGACAAGTTGTGTCTTAGTCCACCACCCCTATTTAGTGAGGGGTGTTCTATTTTTACAAAAATAGCTTCCTTAA